GCGTCGGAAGCCCTGCAGGACCGTTTTATGGTGCCAGAGCAGCGGATCAGCAAACGGCATAGGGCTGAATAAGAAGCGCATAGCCGGAGAAGAACCCGCAAGTCTCCATCCAAGTGCTTGTGCTGCTCGTCGACGGAGTCCAGCCAAGTGATGAAGTGCAAAGCGACAGGCAAGTGCACCATGCAATCCCTCAGGCCAAAATGAGACGGCCAAAGCAGTGAGCTTCTGGTATTGAGAGGCCATAGAGCGCGCCAAGATTGCCCACTTCCTGTCCAGACGCTGCATGCGTGCTTTGAGATCAGCAACGCTAGGCTTCGCACCAAAGGTGAGAGAGCCGCCCAGTTCACAACTATGAGTGGCTGCCTTCATAGGAAACGCTGACAATGCCCGGCGGGACACAGCGTCAGTGGCCCAGCAGTAGGACTTGTCCAAATCAATCTCCATATGCCATAGGGTAAAGAATGCCTGCATGGAAGCAAAGCCCAGGGCCAACATGCCAGCATCTCGAGCAGTAAGCCCAAGATTGTCCACATAGGAGAAGGCCCGTATGCCAGGGCAGAGAACTGCTTGGTAGCAATGCCACATATTATCCAGCAAGCACATCCCAAGAACTGAAAGGGCACAACCCTCAGGAAGGCCAACTGTGCTTAGGGAAGCCTCGCTTAGCGCTCCACGGATCATGAAGGAGCGACTGAAGCTGTGCAGATAGTTCCGCCAAGGTGTAACCACAAAAGCAGGAATCCCAAGGAAGGATGCCAACCAAAGAAGCGGCTCTCCTGGGATGCAGTTGAAGGCACGCACCAGGTCGGAGCTCAAGCCACAAAGTGCAACCCCTCCTTGGCAACTAAGATCGACCATTGCAGTCCAAAGTGCCCAAATACTCATCGCTTCCTGACCCGGGACAAATCCGATTTGACCATCAGGCAAATGTGGCGTCAAGCGTGCCAAGAGTTGTCGACTGCGGATAGAGCCCCAAGTTCTGTACAGCAAACTCAGCACCACAATTGGGCGGAAAGTAGACACCTCATGTGCTCCCTCAACTTTGGCCAAGGCTTGCACCACTCCGAAACGGGTCTGCTGAGGCCAAGGCTCGCCACTTTCAACTCTGCCGAGCAAATCAAGCGCCTGTTTCTCCAGCAGTGGGGGCATGTTGATGAAGTCCAAATGGGAAAGACCATCTACCCCACGAGCGGCTGTAGGTTTGTAGCGCCGTAGATAGCGTTGCCAGCTGTCATGGTCAATTGGCGGAAGCTCAAAAGAAAGGGGCCTCATGTGAGCCTGAGCAAAGGCCGTAACGCGGGCCCAGTCTGTAGCAGAGACGTCTTTGTAGGCATTCCAGCGGGGCCGCCAAAAATCCACAAAGGCGGAGTGGACCTCATCAATCTGCGAAAGAACCTGATGTTGGTGCAGTTCATCGCCAGGAGTCAGAGGCGGCAAATGACTCACAATACAAGTATCGTCTTCTGAGTCCAGCACAAAAATGCGGCGCCCATTGAGTGTCCAGGTAGAGCGACCAGCAAGCTCCAGAGGGCGATCCAAGTGCAATGCACAGGTAGGGGCATCAATGCCAAGAACAGTGTAGTAGTGATCAAGCCAAAGAAGATCAGGTTTTGACTTGGGCACTTTGCGGTGCTCACCAAAAAGGCCTGACATAGTGGCGTCATGCTTCTGCTTGAGAAGTCGGCAACGTTGTCGTATGTGCCAAGACTCAAAGGCTTCAAAGCGCTGACGGAACGTGGCGAAGATGAGCTCAATGTGTGCCAAGGTTGGCAAGCATTCTGGTAGTTCCGCAGGCTCATGTGGATGCCCATCAGGATATCCCCGACTCCAAAATCGACGAAAGCCACCCTCAAAGCCCTGAGCTCGAAGTATGGCACTCCAAAGTTCACAGCGGTGCAACTGAGCCTCCCAGTGTCCAGAGCCTCTGGTGAGAGATTGGCGGAGGCTTTGAATGCGTCGGAGCTGTTTGAACCAAGATCTCACTGCGTGGGACGTAGCATCACTACGCAGAGTGACTTCGCCTTCCCGCCTCGGGCGGCAAAACTGAGGCTGTTCCGTATGTCGATCAGGCGCCGTACGTTTGCAGCGGCCAAGTTGCATAGGAAGAAGGCCTCGACCAGGTTGAGTACGCACATGCCCATGCAGGTTGGTCTCCAGCTGATGGCCAATATGGGCGTAGCAGGCTGTTGTAGTACCAGTGACAGTGACTTTCCTGCACCTGCACCTATTCTTTTCGCTTCTTTTCGCGGCCACCGGAATGTATGGTTGAGTGGAACATCCAACGAGAGATCCACGGCAACAGTGCTGTGCTCGTGAAAGATGTCAAGGACCTGAACTTGTCGACAAAGACATTGTGCTTCCGGGCTGAGCCAGATGAAATCACGCTCAGTGCTGCCTTTGCACGTAGGTGAAATGGGCTGACCCCAGTGCCTCAACGCGAAGGCCTGCGCAGAGACCCACTTGGGGACTGCGCCTGCTTCCGAGATCTTGAAGAACCTGGGCATCGAGGAAACCGACACCCGCAGGTCCAAGCCATTGAACACGTCCAAAGCAGCCCGGCGCTTCGACAAGCGCTTGTGGACAGTGGTCAAGCGCTTCATCAGTCGAGCGGCGACCGTCGGCCTAACACGAGTCCATACGTTAGGCGGCTTCGCGATCCGCACTCAGAAGGATGGTATAAAATTCTTAAAACAGACATAGACGCATCTGTCCTTTGTTTCACTTCGTGTGTGGAAAATGCTGTGCTATACAGATCTTCATGTTCAGCATGGTGCGGAGCGACCCACCCGCCATCCGGCCTCGTCTTCGCACCGGCGTCGTCTCTGACCGGCCCAGCTCGCACCTGACGAACACGTCACATGGCCCCTGTGAAGAGCATGTTCCGAAGACCAAACAGGTGAGAACGTCCATGTCCCTGCTAGTGAGTCGGTGTGTTGTATCTACAACCAGGATCAACCAGGCCTTTGATTGATTCTGTCTCCATGGATATTCTATGGATATTCCCTGGTTCCAATGTCCGCCCAGCTCCGCATGGCCGTTCCGCTCCGTTCCCCACCGGTTCCGCCCGGAGGTCCTGGACCGGACACGGCTGTGGTCGGAGTCCATCGGCTCCTGTGCGGCCATGGTCTTCTCCTCCAGCCCGAACCGCCCAGCGACGGGACGAGCCGGACCGGACGCCGGCGGAGGGGTCGGGCCGTAGGGCCAGGAAGGAGTGGAGGAGCGAGATGGAGGGACTGTTTGGTCGGAAGAAGGAAAGGATGGACTGTGTGATTCTTCCCAAAGGATTTGGAGTGAAGATGGAGTGAAGATGGTTTCATTGTTTTGTATCCGGAAGGGTTGGTGAAAATGAAGGGAAACAGGATGGGAGTGAAATGGAGTGAAGATGGTTTTATTGTTGGTGAACATGAAGGGAAAGAGAGGAACAGATCATGTGGCAGGGCATGGAAACACCCATGATTCACCTGACCTATGGACTGGTCTTTGACTTTAAAGGTTTTAAGAGACCAGTTCGCAATGTATTTTTGGCCACAAGAAGAAAGCGCATGGTTCACATACGGGTATTCCCTCCAAGCATTATAGTTAATCATCAGTGCCTCTGGTGGAAAGGCCCTGCCCTACGCGGGAAGAACCTCCAGTCTTCCCGAACCTCGTCGCGTTCTTTGCTCCGGTCCTTTTCCTCCGTAGCACTGAGGTCCAAACCTGGGGACCCTGGATGAACACCAAGCATGCCCTTATAGGTATGGTGGTTAGACCCCCCCTAGCACCCACCCCAAGCATCTTCTCAGGTAATTAGAGCCCCTATCTCAGGGATGAACCGAATCGACTGGACAGGGTCCACCTACCGGGCGTGACTTTCCGCGGCAACCCGGGACGTCTCATCGACGTGTCCGACGTCTCTGGGGTCCGACCCAGGTGGAAAGCTCTTCGCGGCGGCGGATCGGGCAGGAGACTCGGCCTCGGTCGACGCCGTTACGGCACCGCCATCGGTCGACGAGGAGGTGTTGAAATCCCTTCCTTTCATGTTCATCCCAATAGGTCAAACATCCGGTGTGTAATTTAATAGGGAGACCTTCAACCAATGGCATGATGGGTCTTAAGTCTTAAGTAACTAGTCTATTTCCCTTCCAGGGGGGAGGTCTCCCTAAAATTCACACCCAAATGAACATCCTTCTTGCTCTTGAGTCAGTCCCTTTCCGAAGCTGAAAGCATCGAACCAAAAGGTGCCAACAACGGTCGAATATGGCCTCCCGACGACCCGGGGGCGGGGGGAGGACGTGTCCACTTCTGGCAGCTGGGTGGTAGCAGCTCCAAGCCCAGCGTCGAGTCCAACGGCTCCTTCCACGTCCACGGCGAGGCGCGTGGTCGGCACGGTCGACGCGGTGGCGCGCAAACCGCTGAAGTCACCGGTGCGAGGAGGAGGCATTTGTTTGGGGATTTGGGGGACCTCACATGAAAGGGGAAGGTCATTGGAAACGGGGATAGAAACCGCCCAAAGAAGGGAATGAAAAGGAAAATTGACTTCCCACGTAAGGAAGAATGTCCAGGAGGTCATTCGGAAAGGGTAATGATCACTTGTTGTCAGAACTCAGCTGTCCCATGTGTTCTCTTGGTGTATCCAGTGGGCCCTGTCCCTCGCCATGTTCTCTTCACGAACCGGTGGACTCAACGACCAACTCTTGGCTTCGTCGACAGGTCTTGGCCTTGGCCTTCTCGATGGAGAAGGGCCTGGCGGTCGCCACCAGCGACAAGGCGCGGAGATCGCGACGTCGTCTCTGGGGGGCAGGGAGGGTGGCCTTGGAAGGTCGCGCGAACAGTGAAATGGTTGATGCATGTTGATGATTCTGCTACTTCACGGTGCACCGTGAAGAACCACAAGAAGTATCGTGTGTCCCTGGGGCGAGGGACGCAGGTGTCCAAAGAAAAGAAGGTGTCCCATTTGGCAAAATGGACTCAATGGACCAAAAGATTGGTTGTCCAGATCGTCGAAGTCCTTGTAGCCTCTTTGACTCTCCCCTCAAACACTCCAGGAGTTGCTTTCTTGCTGTTGGGTCCATCGGTTCTTGTTGGCTGGGGCCCCACATGCTTAATTGTTTTGATTCGAGTGCTGGATGGGTTCATGCACGTTTTTGGAACGTTCCAAGACCAGAGCCGTTCATTGAAACCTGTTGAGGGAGATCTTCAGCCATCTCGCAGTTCTACTTTTCGGCACCTTTCCGATGCTTCGCATCCGGACGGCCATGGTTCTTTGTTCGCTGATCCAACGTGGTTCGCTACCCAAACCGCTAACGTTCGGCTCCTTCCTTCCTTGACCCGTGCCAAAGACACCGTTGGCATGACGAAGTCGGAGGCTCGGTCGGTGGATCCGAACAGGATCTTCCTGCCCGGTCACGGGTTCTGCCCGGTCACAGGATCCGAATTGACGTTGGTGCGGCAGAGATGGCATAGTACGTTCCATAATGTGGCAGAGATGGCAGATACTGTATGTGGCATACTTGGAAGATCTATAGGTCCATTCCATATGCTTGCCAGATGCCTTGCGATGGTTTGGCTACATGAGGTTGTAACGAAAGCTTCGACAGACAGAAACCGAAGAGATCTTTGAAGCCTCAAAGGCAGTTGCCCACGCGAAGACAGTCCCATCATTCCATCACGCGTTGACAAGGCGAGTTGACAAGGCGTTGGTCTCGGTCGTGTCGGTGGGTCGTGTCGCTGTGAACCTCAAAGCCTTCGTGTGGTCTTCGTCGTCATCGGTGCTGCAGGTGGTGCTCTTGGCCGTGCCGGTGTTGCAGGACGACGAGTGGAGTTGGAGCGAAGTCGAAGTGGGTTCCTAGTAGCTTCTTGTTACTACTAGTAAGGCACTTGTTACTAGAAGCGATGCACTGGTTACTACTAGCTTCTTGTTCCTAGTAGCTAAATGATGTCAAAAGAAAAGTCACTGCCGAGGTGATCGGTGGTGTAGCATGGTGTTCCTTCAACCTGTTGAATTTGAGTACAGGGATTTTCCAACGCAACGAAGATGAACGCAAAAGGTAATGTTCTGGTGGTATGCTGAGAGAAGATCATTTGGGGAATGTATACTCCCGGTATAGCGCTGTGGCAGCTTTTGCGACGATATGCCTCAGAAGTTCAGTTGCAGATTGCAATCTTTACTTGACCTCACACGGTTAGTTGCCCTACAGCTGTGAACATCACTCTCAACAAACGGGGAGGTTCAACCAGTTTGAGCTTCGTGCCAACACACATTCACCACGAACAAAACGATTAAGCTTCGACTCATGTTCACCACGAACCCCGCGTTTCGTCGCAAGCGATTCTCGGCGCAACGCTTTTGACCGCGCCTACGGTCGGAGCCGCAGGAGGTGGCCACGTTACCTCAGAGTGGAGATATTCAGGAGACGGCCGAGCGACAGCGACGGAGACGGAGACGGTTGGAGGGAGACCAGAACGGGAAGGGAGACCTGTGTCATCAAGCGGCTGTATAGTGTTATTGTATGTTATTGTTACGGCTGAACTAGTTTTTTGGGGATGCTATAAGATGTATAGAGAGAGGGTGTGAGTCATTGTTTGCGGAGAAGATGGCTCATAATGGACAGAGTCTTGCAAGATGCAATAACTAGGGAATCCTCAGAAATGATCCCGCAAGAGACCCGTATGGTTTTGTTCAGAAGATCACCATGATGGGTGAGAAGACGATTTTGTTGTCCTTGTGGCAGTTAGTGATTGTAGTTGTAGTGGTGAGAGGTGTAGAAATTAGTAGTAGTCGCAGTGGCCGTAGTGGTAGTGGTCATGGTAGTGTGGTAGTGGTAGTGTGGTTGTGGTAGTGTGGTTCTGGTAGTGTGGTAGCGCCTGCCACAAAATCTGCACTTCGAGGTGTGCAAAGTGCTGCGTTTTTGCAGTTTGAGGTTCACAAAATGCTGCACCTGCCACGAAATCTGCAATGGAAACGCACAGTTCTGCCAACATATTTCGCAGCGAAAAATCAGGAACCTCCAAAGACAAGATCGAGATGCCAAAGCGAAGCTTTCGCGAGATGCAGCGTGAGATCACCAAAACACCTTGCGCACACCACGAAAAGTGACCACCAGGTCCGAACATGTGCACCACCGTGAACGAGAGCGCAGTCGAGGCAAGCATCCGCGCCAACACGTGAAGGTGCCGTAAACAGCAGTGACTTGGCCGCGCACGCCAATGAGTAGCCGATCGAACACAGGGCCTTTACACTTCCCATAAGAACCCCTAGAGTATACACATGAGCGCAGCAATAGAAGAGCGCACGTGAGAGCACACATGTGAGCAAACACGTGGGAGCATACAACGAAAGCATGGCATAGACGAGGGCTTGCGCACCAGCACAAGTGAGAACATGAGAGCATCAGAACTAGCACAGGAGCACAGATACTGATACGAGAGCGCACACACATGAGCGCCACGCCTGCCACGAAATCTGCGCTTGGAGCGCCTGGTGACAGGGCATCGGACTCTGGTGAACAGCAGATGACCCGTTCAGGGAATGGACACTTTGCAAGGACCCACAACTTGCCTGATGGCTTGAGATCCACAGAAGATGGCATGGAAGAGAGTTGCCACCAGGCAACTGGGCACAGATGTGTCTTCGTTACCAAACATATTGCAGTGCCAACCATCAAGAATGCGCAAGCCAAGCCACATTCTACCGTGCCACAATACCCTGGCGCAGATGTATAAAATTCAGAAAGCGACGTCAACACTCTGCATGTCCGGTGTGTGATAAACTGAAATCACGGATGCGACATGCTACGTCGCTCTTGGACCGCGCGGCCGCGACTGATCAACTGCTGGGCCACTTGACCCAAACCTTTCATTGTCGTGAGATTTACTGGAGTGCAATCGCCCTAAGCCGAAACAAAATGGAGCAGCTATGTGTCATAGTTGATGGATATGATAAATCCAAGTTGGAAGTGGACGTCCCACCCAAGGGCGGAATGTTCGACAAACATCAAAGGACTGGAATCCAACTTAGCGCTACTCTCGCGCACGGCTGGGGATGCTGCGTGTTCTTGACTGCAGAGCACTCTTCAGTGGGCGGATCCTTTACCTGGGAAAGCCTACTTTACACATCTTTACACCATCAATCGCTGCTGGAATGAATCAACCAAAGAGGGTTGCGCTTTGCCCCTTGTTCCTTGCCATATTTGGTAATGTGATTTTGCAATTCTTTCGAACTTGCAAGGCTTGGTTGAAGCCTTGTAGGAAGGTTGTGGGTGCAAGGGGACAACACAGTCCAAGAGCTGAAGAATTCCCTGTCGGGAATCATGTGTGGATGCCTGATCTTGGCCAACTACTTTGATGAAGCAGGCCATTTTCACTTGCCGGTTGGCCATACCCACGAAGACGTTCGATCTAATCTTAGTTCGCTATGTTCACTGTGGAATTGGTGTGTTTTGCATCCAACTAAGATGGCCTATTCGGAATCATTACCAACATGCTTGCGAGCATTGGCGACCAACTCAAACACCCATGGACTTCAAAAGGAGTCATGCTTTTGTTCCGTCAGATGATTGTATGATATTCATGGCAAGGTCAGTTGCCACATTGTTTTCCAGGATGCTGGAAGCTAACGTTGGTCCTGCCTTTGAACAACGTGGTAAATTTTTTGAAGTGGTCATGATGGATGGAGCTGCTGGCCTCAATCAATTATCGCTGACCAGTGGTTTGACAACTCAATGCCGCATAGCTTCAAGAAATCTTTAGCTCAGGTTCGTCCATGGAAAGAACTACAGTCCATACCGCCCCAGAAAGTTCGAGGGAGACCGGATTCCTTCATTTCTCTTTAAGAGACGAGATTGCGGTTTGACAAGTTCAATATCATGTAACAACAGCAGCCCATAGACGACGAAACATAACCAGAGCACTCTATATTGTTTTAAACACGTTGTTAAACTCTATGCGTGCCACTATATTAGAGAGTGCCGGGTCAGTCTGAGCACGCACAGACCTACACACCATAGAGAAGTTTCCAGGTCAGGAAGTTGGCTCAACGCTTGGTTCTTGGGTGTGATGCAAAAAGTATCCGGAAAAAACAAAACGCAAGGTTGGCACAAGCTTGTTTAGCAGGTGCTGCCAAAGTGAATGAAAAATAAGGACGAACTCACATTATTGAGGGAGATCTGTTGCTGGGCGTGGATGTTGGCACAGGCTTATTGCGAGATGGTGTTATGAAGTTTCATTCTGGTGTCCGCATCAACTGTACCGCACAGATTCGTGGCCAACAGATAGAAGATGATCGAAACATCATACATCATCATACCATGTTTCTTGACCTTTGGCCAATAGAAAAACCTTAGCCTGTCACTGTGCAGCATCCCATCCGTTTGTACCCATCCGTTCGGGGGGGTGACTACCCAGACCGGACCGTCTACCAGACCGGACGAGCGAAGCGGTCTTGGCCGGAGCATAGGAGCTGTGCTTCTCACCGGACGGAGCTTTCATGGTGGTCTCTGGAGTGAACGTGGTTCGGGACGCTCAGACCGGAGGTGCGACCGACTCAGACGGATTCAACCAGGTGTTGCTGGTTTCTGGCACCACCAGGGAATCGTTTGGAGTGAAACATCTGGAACTGTGGCAAAAAGTCGTTCATGGGTTGGGATTGATGTACTGAAAGTAAGCAGGAGAATGAGATCCAATTTGCCAGAAGCCTGTGAAATGGGTGTTTCCTTGGGTGTTAATTAAAACCCATGACACATCCCATAAGGCCCTGAAAAACACAAACCATCCACATCATGTCGCCAAACCTCTTTTCCTTCTTCGGAGACTGAGGGAAGGAAGGTTCACTGAGAAAATCCCCATCGGGCCGGTGGGCTTCCGACGAAGGCGGACGGGAGAGGGTGTGAAGGCTCGGACGCTCCGTTTCACCCACGGAAGGGTACAAATGGATGGTTGGTTGAAGGGTTGATTGTGTCACACACCGTCCGGCAGGGAGAAAAGATGTGCCTCGTTGAAGCTGAAGATGGAATCCAATGTTCATGTAGGAAAAGGATGAACATCCTGGTAATTATGTGGAAAGCCAATCACACCCCAGTAGGATGTCCCATCATGTTTTAGATGTGTTATGCTCCTCTCAACGCTTTCAAGACCTATTTCAGACGCTTTGGATCGCTTTGGAACTCTTTCAAGACCATATAGTGCGTTTATATATCAAAAGACAGTTATTTTGTTCGGGCAATACCTAAAGCCCCGCGCGCCCCACACGTTTCATCTTACTTGATATCACTTGCCTATAGAGATCATCCAGTCACTAGTGTTCGCCACCGAGGATGCCCGCAGCAGCCTACTGGCCGAGGAGGGCGACTTAAGCGCAGGGGTGGCCAGGGCCTCAGGAGCGTGGCGCGGTGGCACACGTTTCGGGTCGTCCAGCTGCCCCCTTTTTGGATCGGTGAATCAAGCTGGGCGAGCAGCACAACTGCCAAAGCTTGGTGAGTGATGCTGGGTTTCCATGCATTCTGTGGTTCCAGCTGTTGCTTTGGAAAATTGAGAGTCATCCGGACGAACATGACGGTCCCTCTTAGCCTGGTATGTTTGTATATACTTTTGGTTGGTGCTTGGGTTGCCCCATCAGTGGCCTTGAGCAGTTCAAAAAGAGATGGTATCCAGGGCAAAAATAGGGAATCCACTCTTCGAGGTACGTTCCAACTGTTCAACCATCCGCATGAGAGTATGTGATTGTAAGGTGTCGAATCCACTGGTTTAAATACGCTCCTCAGGGAGAAGTAGCAAGGTTTTGAAAAGAAACGAAGCTTCCTAAAGAACACGGATGATAGAAATCTGGGCCCAACTCCAAGTCGAAAAGCTCGCGAAAGCTGTCTATATTAGAACCCATACACTCCATGGGACTGCCATATATGCCTACATTGACACCCCTGGCACCACCCCTGGCCTGATCGGCAGTCCTATGGCAGTCCCATGGAGCATCTGGGTAAGTATGTCAGTATGTCTACAAGTCCAAACTGGTTCGTGATCTATTTTGCTAGGTCCTGTATACAGGAGTACATAGGAGATCATAGGAGTACCTACTGTACGTGCCGGGAAGATCATGGAGTCGGCACTTAAGACTTGCTTGACGAGGTTGCGCGACTTAGTGAAACAGTTTCACATGTTGGTCAGCCCTCTACTTTAGGCAGTCTGGCGGAGATTGTTCCATGGCCGACCTACGAATCCGACACCGAATGGGAGGGACTCTCCCACCTACCCAGGAAAAGTGGAGAAGCTTGTCACATCCTTTCACCGTTTTTGTTGTGGGGCCCATGGTTTTTGAACCCCCAACTCAAATCCAACAGGTGGGAAAGTTCGGTGAAGTGTCAAACCGACATCAACCAATGGATCTCGCTTTGCGGGGCCCGCCCGTTTAAACGCGTGGACCCACGACGAGCGCCGAAACGCCACGCCGAAACGGTGGCAACTCGGGTGGTCACGTGACTTGATGACCCGGTGAACTCGATGAGTTCAATCATGACGAAAGGCATCGGTGCGTTGTGTGTTTTAATGCCTTTCGTTTCGTTTGTCTAATGGTGTGTACCTCATTTAGATCATCTCCTTCCCATGACCCATCAGACCAACCCATCAGTATCACTCACGCTTTGTAAATTATCTTTTGACTATTGACACCAACGGTGAAGGCACCAAGGTGAGGGCACCATGTTCACAGGACCAGGAACTCAGGCTTCGACCACGCCCGATTCATCCCACTTGAGCGACTGGTCGGACACTTGTTCGGTTGGACACTCTTCTCGCAGGTCTTCTGGGAGGTCTCCGGAGCCTTCAAACGGCGCGGCAAACGCTTGAAACAAACGACATCTGGGAGCGGGAGCGGGAGGGGATTGGACGGGAGCAGAGGCGCAGATCTGGCGGAGCCTCAGAAACATCACCTCCTGAGAGCTTTCGGCTAGAGTGTCTCACAAGACCCTTCTCGCACAAGAGTTTCCTACAGGAGTGCACAAGAGCACCGCCTCCAAGAGTTTCTTGTAAGAGCAAGGCAGACATTTGTTTATGTACTATATTGTTATTTTAATCAAAATGTGTAATTTCAAGGAATGGTGTCACGCTAAGGTTTTTCAACGCAGCATCAAATGTGATCGCAACTGCCAATGGTATCTAAAGCCCTCTCGTTGCAGGCACGAATTTTTAGCACCCAGAAAAACTGAAACACCTTGGCACGCTGATTTGCGAACGGCTGCAAACAAACTGTGAACGAGCTGATTTGGTTCGACGTTGGATTAACCAATTAAGGAGCCAAAAACATGGTAATAACACATGTTTGTTTGTCCTTAATCGGTTAATTTAGTGTCGAGCAAATTCAGTTCGGTCGCAATTTGTTCGCAAATCAGCGAGCCAGAGTGTCTCAGTTTTTCCGGGTGCTTGAAACCCTGTGCCAGCGTCGAGTGTGTTTAAGGTGTCGCTGACATGTGCAAGCCAACCTGCTCTCACATTTTGTTCATTGAGGGTCATTGAATGTCATTGAGCCTTACAAAAGCTCGGAGGCCATGTCCGGCAGGCATTACGCTCAAATACTTTGAATTTTCACATTCCCACAATCCAAAATTATACTTCTGAGCCTCAATGCCGTGGATCGGCAAAGCTTTTGTGAATTATTGAAAACCGCCTCATTCAGCTGCAATGATTCCCAGAAAGCTTGATTGCCCTCCATGTTTTTCCGTGTTTCAGAAAACCTGCAACTGATGCAATAGCATATTGCCTTTTTTGGATGTCAGTAATGGTGTTCCAGGTCCAGGGTACATCTTGGAAAACGGGACACCCTGGATCGCAAATATTTTGTACATTTGAGAAACTTAGCATCGTTGCCTTCAGGCCAATTCTTGTCACAAAAACCACAGACTCAAATTCAATTCTATAGATCAATCAACAAGGTCAAAGTCAAAAATCAACACTTGAGGTGCCACGTTTGAAAAAGTTCTGTGGCAGGCGCAAACGCTTGAAAGATTTCTGTGGCAGGGGCAAGTACTGGAAAAAAATCTGTGGCAAGTGCAAACACTTGCTTGAATTCTGTGGCAGCCTGGGAGACAATGAAAAGAAGTGGGAGACAAATGAAAGGAAGTGGGCGACAAGCCAGCCGGGAACCCGACCACAATCACCCAGCCTGGGAGACAAATGAAAAGAACTGGGAGACAAATAAAAGGAAGTGGGAGACAAGCCTTGAAAGATTTCTGTCCTCGGCCAAGCATTTTAGTGCGCTTCTATGTTTAAAGAGCAAGAGGACAGTGTTCTTGCCCCTTTCGACAGGAAAACGCCGGCCGTTCGGGTGGGCAAGAGAAGAAGGTGAAGAAGACGCCTCTTTTGAAACAGACTATTTTTCTATTTCCCCGAGCCTCCGGCTCGAGACTCTGCCTCGAAGCCATTTCAAGACTGAGGGACTGGTAGGGTCAAGCCTACCAGTCCAACTGCAATGCAAACACGCAAGCTGTGCGAGCATCCACCCCCTTGGCGTAACCATAAAAGCTAACCACTAATCCCTCACCATTGGCATGTGGAGGTGTTCGCCTTGCTTAAAGGCAAAAATCATTTTCCAAAAATGAATTTTCTTATCTAAACTCGCCGCCGTCCAGTTTTAAAGGCAGAAGTCATTATCCCAAATTGATCGGTCTAGTTCGAAATTGGCGCCAAAGCAATGGAGTACTAGTTCTATTCACATAGAACACCATATATATGTTGTCCTATAATTATTCCCACAGAAAACGGTTTCGTAGTTGAGGCGATCAAGAAGAATGTCTGTCTCACCACATCAACCACGAGGGATTCACTGCGGTTGGCCCTTTTTTCCATGCTCATCTTACACCCAGTCCCCGTTGCCGCTCCGCAGGTTAGGTTCCATGATCTTCCAACAGATGATCCGCGTCACCACGTGGTGAGCTTAGCCGGCAGCTGTCCAGGTGGAAAAGGGTTCCACGGAGGGACCGAGGATGAGTGGGAGCCATGCCAGATAGGTGTAATTATTGTGACACAGTCTTTCATTAGCGCATGCGTGGATTTGATCATGTGATGAGTCTATCCAAACAGACAGACAGAGAGAGGACGTACGGGTACACGTCAACTTGTGAGATGTATTGAGATGTTCCACATTCGGAAAGGAACGTACTTGATGAGCCACAAGTGGATTGCTGCTGGATTTGTCGAGTGATCCCACTTGAAGTTCTGATCGATGTTTTCTGATCAATTGCTGGATCTTCTTGTTCTTGTGTTTCGATCTGTACTCCACTGAAACCACCTACGTCTGACATCCCTTGGAGTTTCCCAAGCTGATCGCGCCGGGAGTGCCACAACGTCTCGCTTCGAAACCCGCCTCGTTGGGAGTGGTGTCCGAAGAACACCCTGGGTCCATGGGTGGTTTTTTAGGTGCTTGCTTGCTAGAGGCATCCAACTCCATGGTGGGATGACATAGTAATTATCACTTCTCCAACTAGCCAGGAGATACATGGCGCGGCTGTTCCCGCCTTTTTTGTTTTTTGAGTTGCGCCAACAACTTTCCAAACGATGTAGATGAAAATACCCATCTAGAGTAGAAATCTACTGTAGTGCCCCAATAGCTCTATTGGAGGCCAAGTCGTTTGGACCAACCAACCATCACTAACCTTGTCTTCAACGCATCACGCAGACCGCGCTGTCTGAGCGGTCGCAGACCGCGGACCGACCGGTCGAGGTTTAGACCGGACGGGCGATATTTGGCGGTGGCGGGCGACAACAAGCTCATCGTCCTTGGCCTTGGAGCTGGTGTTGGAAGGGGGCAGAAGGTGTGGAAGGTGAAGGCTCTTTTTGGAGAAGAACAAACAAATCTGGCGGTGGATTTTTGATAGGGAGACACCCTGGCCCAATCGAAGGGTGGGTATACTGTATACTGGTCTAGTTTTCCGAAACCTTCTTAGGGTTGTCATTGCCTGGGAGGTCTCCCTATTTGAGCTACATCACCCAGAAGAGTCTTTTTTGCAAGGTACTGTTCAAGAACTGCATGCTGTCCTTCTTCTGCGATCGCCGTCGTGCCAAGTCAGTCAGAATCGGGTCATGCCAGGAGGCGATGATCGAAGGTTTAATATGAGTCAACTGGGCACGACTTGATTGACACTCCAAAGTCTGTAGGTTGTCAATCAAGTTCTATTCCTCAAGTTCTATTCAATCAAGTTCAAACAGACTACTCTGTAATGTAAGTTCCTTTTCCTCTGAAGGTGGGAGAGTAGTCTTTTGTGTCATGATGGGGCCCACCATTTACTCTGCCGCGGTGCTCAAGTACTTAGTGCAGTGCAGAGCTCTGAAGTCTGGCTTCACCGATTTATTGGCTATTCTACCAACGCAGTACGGTGCCAATTGGTATATCCCCCTCCCCTTTCTGGCATGCCAGAACCCTGGTTCAGTTCTGTTTTGGTGCATTGCTTTCGTTTTGGTGGCCCCTTACCGAGGGGGTGAACGATGGAAAGACATAATGAAACACTCTACTAGCTCCTTGTTTGGAAGTCTATTGCCATGTTTCAATACTTCCAGAGAATGAAGTACTTCCGGTATTCCAGTATTGCTCCTTTCTGGTCTCTACAAGTCCTGCCGGACTTGGAAAACCCATCAGTCCCGGTTGAGTAGGGGGACATCGATCGCCGAAACAAGCTCCCAGTCGACTTCGACAGAGGTCTGACCAAGTCGAACGGGTGGGTTGGAGGCTTTGGAGATTTGGATTGTAGACCCACTGTACGGACGCGTCACATGACGGCAAAAAGAATAGACCTCCTCCTCATCTTCGTTTGGCAAGAGGCTCAGAGACACCCGGGTTCCTACTTGGGGCGTAAGTGAATGAAGAAGGAAAAAAGGCACTGAACAGCGAGAAGGCACCGAATTCTGCCGCTTTGGCCACTTTGTGGGGGGAGAAGGCACAGGAGCACAGAATAACAGCTCTAGACTCTAGGGGACATGCTTGGAGCGGGGAAGGAGAAGCTGCAGAACAGCTCTACGTGGAGATCTTTGGACCAAACTCTCCGTTGAATGACCGTCGATGCGTCTCCCACGCGCCGAGTCGTTGGTGGACGTGCTCAATGACTTTGATCACGAGGGCGATTTGCCCCTTTGAGTCAAGCCGAGAGTGGGTGACGGTCGTCGTTGTCGACCCATTCGATGACTAAGTTCGATGCGTCGAGTGGCAAACGGATCAAACATGGGTGAGGTGAGGTATGGGGACTGTAAAACCACATGTTTTAAGGTGCTTTCATCAAAAAACACCATGAAAAACCACATAAAACCCGTCGCCGACCCGTTCCGACTGGAGAAGATGCGGGAGAAGTGGCAAACGGATCAAACATAACGGATCAAACGGATCAAACATAGGGTGTTATTTAAAAAGACAATGAAAATGCATTTAAAAACAACATAAAACCCGAGTTCAGGTGAGGTATGGGGACTGTTTGTGTCCCTTTGTTTCCTGGTAGGCAGGGGTTGCTGCAGTTCTGGCACGATGCGACCGTTTGTAACATGATCCCACATGATGAGGTGTTCTTCAAGGCCATCTGAAGAACTACCTGGGTAAAAGAGATTTGATTGAGAGGTGTTCTGCAATGATTTCGTAGTGGATGACACCCTGCTAGATGCGTGTTGAATGTGGGTCCCATGTCAGTCAAAACGCTTGGGAATTTATGCCACACGCAACAATTGGTGTGATTGATGGACAGATACTGAATGCCCCTCAACACAGATACCGTCAGATACCTATTTCTATCTCATCTCATGCTCACTCCGTGGTGCTCAACCAGAGGCTCGGTGGTTCCCTTTGCCTCTACGCGACTGTGGTCTGTAGAGAGCAGCAGCAACTGCACGTGGGACAGTGCATGTTTACAGCTGCTACCCAAAGCCTCCTTGTAGGAAACAGAAACCCAACCTGCGGATCCTGGCTTTGATTGGTTGAGCCACAGGCACAAGACTTGTATGTCATGAAACAGGCTCAGAGTCCCTGTTGTTCCTTCAAACATCAAACTACACACTCTGCAAAAGGTCCAGCGAACTGAAGACACAAAGTGTCTTGGAAGCATCCCAGCTGTGATATTATCGGATGCTGGAGTGCCACAGCTCCTCTCCAATGAGGCAAAACACAGAAAGATGCCACAGGGCTTCTGTCAAATCAAAAGCTATTTCTGTAAGTTGTATATGCTATCGGTATGGTAACAACCTTGGTAGTTCATTTTGGTTTCTTTAATCGTCAAGTCTCTGGTCCGACCGTGCTTTGTGAGAAGTGACACGACGTTTGTCGCAATGAGACGAATGGCCCAGCCTAGGCCTTGTAGCCACACAGTGCGTGCACTCGCGTGGAGTTGCTTGGCATGGAGGAAGGAGCTGTTCGCTTGTGCCCTTTGCATGTCGACGTGGATGCTTCCAGAGAAAGTTAGTTGATTCGTCTTTTGCAATATGTTGGAAAGTTACCAAGCAGCGAATATAGTAGCAATGTCTTCATCATGTTGAAAGGAATGTGTTGTTCAATCTAGGCTGTTTGTCATAACCTTTCCAGCAAAAGCATCGACAACCCTCACCCCCAAAAGTCATGCATAGTTCCACCAATTCTTGGGAGTTATCCTTTTATAGCTTTGCGAGACTGGAAGACCCAGACCATGCCAAACCCCAGAAGCCCAAGAACCTTGTACCAACAATCATCATCAATCAGCTGCGCACTTTTGGAAGGGTATATACATAAGGGATCACAAGGGTACCTTTCTCCCTGACAAGTGAAGACGTGAAGACATGCAAACAATCCACAGGCCCGTCCTGGAACCTCTAGTGTCCATTCAACACCCCAGATCTTGGTCCTTCGATATCGGCCTTCCGAAATCCAAAACCAAAAATAACCCCTTAAGATTGCTCAGAAAGTAGATGAGCCTTGGTTCACACGTTTATCATCTAACCTACCTTGATCTTGTTTCTTCTCCCTTGGCTTAAGACTTAAGAAGTGCTTCTCCCTAGTCCCGCCCTCCCGAAAGCGTCCATGAAAACGACCACGCCAAAGGCCCTTCCGCTCCGCCCTCCGCTCTCCGATCCATTCGATGTCGGACAGCGCTCCCTCGCTCGTTCACGAGGTCCGAACCTCCGGTGCCTGGCCTCCGGCGGAGAGGATCACCTCGTCACGGCCGGGGGGCCACGAACCGGCGAAGCGCGTTGTCTTGCGCTGTTTGGTGAAGAGCCTGGAAGCGATTGGGGGGTGAGTGAACTGATGGTGCGTGAAGCTGGACTTATCCGGGTTGGGGGTTTAGACATGTAAGGACAGTCGTGTCATGGAGAAGCACCAAGCCAACCCACCAGTTGCAGTCAGGTGCGGCAGCTATCGGAATGTGTGACCAAGCTTTTGGTGCTTGATGCGAAAGGCTCAAAGCTGCCTTGTGCCTAGAGCTAGTCAGTGACTAGACCCCCAAAGTGGAGCGTTCAAGTACAGACCCTCTCCAGGAATAGCTGCAGATTGCCATTTCCATCACCACAACATGTTTACAGTCCACCAGACCATCATGTTAACATGTGCAAGAGTCAGAAACACTCGAAGAAACAATTGTTCATGTTTGTTATTGTTCATTCCTTAATTTGTTTCTCATCGCCCGCTTGGCTACCTCATGGCGCTGCCAGCCGATGTGCTGCCAGCCGATGTGCTGGCAAAGGTGCTGGCTCTTGTGCCGGCCGACCTGCAAATGACCTCAGCCCTAAGGGTGGCCAACCAATACGCCAAAGAGCGTGTGGATACAAGATGGTGGACAGCGCAGGTGCAGTGCATGAAAGCGTTTGTGGATGGACATGCATGTGTGTTTTCCGATGATCCACTCCCAGTTGAAGGGAATGAAGATGCATCCATTGAAGAACAGCAAGAAGCATTTGCTCGCAACGTCTTTAATTGGGTCAGGCCACTCCTGAAGAATCAGCCATGGAGGTTTGAAGCCCATGATGATGCCACAGGTGAGATCACTCCACGAGCAGCCCACGTGAATTTGAGAAGAGAGATGACAAATTTGAGTCACTCTGAATTGTTTTGGACTGCTTTGTTGTTCGCGTGTATTTCCCAAAGCTCAGAGGAAAACCCCTTAGGCCCATTGGGATCCATAGAGTTCTGCTTGCATGCCACTGAACGAATTGTTTTGCAGGCGTGTGCGAGGCTCGCGACAGTCCCAACGACCCATTTGAGGAGGATGCTTTTCCAAACTTACCCGAAAGGTATGCGACGTGATCAAAAAGGCTCCCCTGTAGAGAAGAGCTTGGATGATCCCCAATGGCTTTCTTGGCAAACGAACAATTTCTGTTTGTTGGTGAACATTTATTTAGCCATTCCACCTTTGCCCATCTCCTGACCTGCTTCTGTAGAATGAGTAGGAAAGTCCGTGTTGTTCCTGTTTCCTTCTTTAAAGAAACCACCTGAATTTCAATCCCGGAAATGCTTTCCACAAAAAAATCATAAAGAACCCATTAATCTATATTATAAGTTAAAAGATATATATACTCTCTACAACGTACGCTATAACGTGTTTTCAGCATAGACTTGAGGGTTCACAGCATGAGGTGAGATTGTCCTTGTTCGCTCCCTTCTAAGGTGAGAGAAGGAATGAGGTGCTCCGAAACATTCGCCAACAACTACGCCACATTGAGAAACATCATCTGAGGCGTCGCGGCGAAGAGGGAGGCACAGGGCATACCCTCGTTTCGCAGGCCGACCGCAGGCAGATGGAAGACGACATCCCACCGACGCTTGCCAACCTTGAGACGACTGAGGTGAGAAGTGATGATGCCATGTCTGGATCCTTTGCCCACACCGAAATGACCAGAGCAGGGTTTCCCAGAGAGGAATTGATGATCATTTGCAGCCGTCTCCATATTTCGATTGAAGTTGCCGAGGAATTGCTCGCAACGATGGAACAGCGGGGGCTGATGCCTGCTGTGACCTTCAGGGACCCCTCCGACGGAAGGTACGAAGCCGCTGAGTCGGAAGCATCCTCACAGGTCATGGAGTCAACTCTTGCATCTCTGAGGGATCTCGGCTTGAGGCGACCAACAGTCGATGCGGACATGGCTCATGGATTGCTCGGCGAGGCGCATGACGTCCACGCACCAGTTGAAGGGTCAGAGATGGACGGAGCGCAGCCAGTAGAACTGTCCCAAAGCTCTACAGGTGCTTCTTTGACAGCCACGGTGACAGAGTTTGCTGCACCGTCGATCCCCTCCAGGCAGCCAGAGATTGCCAACATCGAGGCCCAGGAATTGCCGAGAAGCTCAGGAGACATGTCTGCAAATCCTCAGGTCGGGGAGTCAGGAAGATCGTCCAACAATCTCATAGAGTCTGCCGACATCTCTACGATGGATCGTCTGGATCATCCAGAAACGTCCGAACGACCTACGGGTGCTCTTCCGGTGGTTGTGACCAGACGTTGGAAGACATGCAAGAGAAGCTTGAGCGGGTCTTGGACGCGGTTGATCATCAATATTGTTTTGTTGGCATTCCTTATTGCCCATTCCATTGGAAGTGCTCATCATGACCAGCCTTCAATTCTGAGTCGGATGAAAGGAATAGTTGTGTCGCCGGAGACTGAGTGGCTTGGTTTCAGCTTGCAGTCTTGTGAACCAAGAAAGTTGGAATCTCCTCACACACCACGGAACTCCAAGAACTTGTGGAGCAACGAGACAGAAGCCGATGGGCTTTCTTGGATGAAATGGCCAATTGCCAAGAGGAACACTGGCCCAACAATTGGGCATTCCAAGAAATCTGGCCGGCTTCTAATCAAGACGTTCAGTGTCAGTGGCTTGCTAGCAGCAGTCGGACATCGAATTCACACATGGTGGCCACGGCCTCCTTCAAACTCTCAGCCCCGGATTGCATCCCATGATGGTGCTGACAAGGAAGCTGTGGAAGGCTACAAGAAGCCGGAAGCAAGAGCAGCAAGCGATCTTACCCCTGCGCTGGATGTTGCTGCAAATGGCGACAAGGAAAAGTATAGACTTGTTGCTCCGCGCAAGTGCAAACAATGCAACTGAAGAGGGGCAGGCACAAGCTCACGACATAGCCGCACAACTTGCTGCAGCTGCAAGAGCTTTCCTCGTGGAGGCTGCAAAACAAGGCCCGGCTAGCAGGCCATGGTTGCAAACAGCTCTGCACCGAGCAGCCGCAAAAGGAGACAAAACTGAGGTGGAACAGTTGCTCCAGGCTGGTGCCAACAAGGAAGCAGTGGATGCAAATGGCGAAACAGCTTTGCATCTGGCAGCTGGAACAGGACAGGAAACTGTTGTGAAACAGTTGCTCCAG